GAAATATGTAATGGGCATCATGAATATGATCAAAGGCATCAATAGACCTCAAAAAAACAGTCCCTACTGGACAATTCGTAAGCAAATTCATTTGACTTCTTCTCTTCGTATCACTCCAAGCATCAGTCATAAGAGAAACCCCATACTGAGCCCATGCATCTTTCTTAAGTTCTACAGCTTCCTTCGTGGCACTCACTGCCTTTTTTAAAAAAAGCTCTGAAAGCTCATATGGGCTTGGGGGTTTCATCCCAGGGCCAAATTGGCCAATTGCTTCTACTGCAGCATAAAAGCTGCCCAAGCGAACTGTATTGAAAGGAATGCCTGCCTCATAAAACCATGTAGCGAAATAATACGCAGCTCTATCTCTCTCTTCCTTCTTGATTCTATTTTCAATGGTGGTTTTCTTTTTTGTTTTCTCTCCCGCAATCTTAGGGTCAGGCCGAGGTAAGAAACTATGCATAGGGCCTCTAACCCGAGGCTTCTTAGTCCTAGAACCAGAAGCAATTACAACTCCCTTCCCCTTTCCCCTAATAATGAATTGCTCAACCTCTTGACATCCCTCCCCAATCCTTTCCTCATCACTATCATCATCATCAAAATTGACTCGAACCCCAGACGTAATCTCTGCTATAGAGGCAAATCTCTCATCATTTTTAATTTTCACCAAGTTTATAAAATTCTTTATTTCCTCTTTAACAGCATCAGGAGTCTTTTTACATGGGGCAACATCCCCCCCTGATACTGGCAAGATGTTTCTTGAACTGGTTTATACCCCATTTTGTATCCTTTTCACAAAAATTGCATCTTATGCAATTTTTATCATTGCGATCTGTGTTATAACCATATTTCCAACTGGGATCACCACTCCTATTAGATCCCGAAGAAGGCATCTCAAAAATAATGCAAATTACTAAAGCAATAAAAAAAATAACTTACTTTGAGTTTGATTGCTCAATCTTCAACCTTTCACCTCAAAGATGTTTCTAAATACTCAAAATCTTCTTAAACACCCCCTAATAACTTTGTAAAATATCAAAAAGTAAATATAATACCAATGGGTGATGTTTTGGTCAATTTTGGTTAACTTTGAGTAACCCTTCGATCTTAAAAAATTCACCACAATCTAGTTTTTTGGTGGTTTTCTCTATCTAAATTTGGCTCAAACAAGGTTTAGGTGTCAAATGAACCTAAAACCCTAATTTTTGGGCCTTAAAAACAAAAAAAAATGAAGTAAAATGCCCTCACGAATTTTTTTTCCGCCCCTGAGCGGGGCGCAAGCCTTGAGCGGCCGCCTAGGGATTGACCGCCCAGATTGGCCGCCTAAGCCTGGGCGATGTGCCTAGGCCTTTCCGACCGCCTAGGCACTAGGCAGTCCACTCTCTGAATCACTGATTATACTGTAGCACATGTGTGGCAGACCTGCATGCTTGTTTGTTTGCTTGGGCATGCATAAATACGTTCTACTGTTTCTAGTGTTCTGAGCTCTTGATAATCCTTTGAAATGGTATACTGGCTCATTAATGCACATTAACATTCAACCTTTTCTCCAAGAAAAGAAAAAAAGAAAAAAGAAAAATTCACTAATGATTTGCTTATTTCTCTTTGCTTTGTTTTCATGTTTCCCTGCTTTGTAGTCAGTTGTATCTGCATCCCTATTAATGATGTCAATGCTTCTTAGTGATGGACAAGTTGGTTACTCACTGTGGAGGGGTAATGTTCCAGGTCATGGATTCATTCCCTTAAAATGTTGGATTTTGTTTTTCTATGGTTGCAAAGTGTTTTTTCAATGCGACAAACTGTTGGTAGAAGAATCTATCATCTTTAAATAATATAGTAGTGAGGTACTCTTCTTTATGCCTTTCTCTGGATGACACTGATTGGTTTTGGAGTATAAAAGGTAATTTACATTTCATGGCTACCCTTGATAAACCTTCAAGTCTTCTTTGTACAGGGCCACCGTGTTAGCGTTTGCTCTATTTGCCAGTCCTGCTGCATTAGTGTGTACATTAGTCTTTGAGGTTTGTGCTTCTGGATGCCTGTATTGTATTTACCAAATAGTACTTTAGATGGTTTGGTCTTGTTTTCTATCTTTTGGAGCATTCTTAACTGGGGCATGTAATGTTTCTTAAGAACATTCAAGAAGTCAATGCTATTATATTACGAGCTTTCGTCTGTGAGTGCAACTTGACATAACTAAAGAAAACACCCTAGATTTTCCAACTATATCACCAGGCTGAAGACCATATTAGCTTGGGAGGAGCTAGCAGGCACTTTTTGCTACTCTCTCCCCTTTTTCACATTATGCCGGTTATCCATAAGAAATGTGAGTGATTTTTCATGAGATATAGAACATACTACATATTCACGACCTGCCACGAACCACAATCGATCTTAAACATTCAAGCTTCCTCCAATAAAATATGAGTTGCGGAGGAAAGCTGGTTCCATTGTCTAAGGCTAGCAACGTTGTAGCTTATCTGAAATTTGGGAATTACTGTAATGTTTTGAAAGGATATGCCTATCGCATCCATTTCAGAGTTCACATTAATCAGATATCTTGTACATTATACAATGAGTGAATGAGAGGTAAGCACACTTTTTTGTAATAATCAAAGACCATTCACTTATCCTCTGACCTATATTCATCCTAGAAGAGAACATATACACATCGAATTTCCACTTTATTAGAATAATGTTATGTGGAGAAATTATAAGTTTTTTAAATATCCCTATCTAGAAACTAACTACGTCTTGCATAAAATTTCATTGCACCAAGTTTCTCCAATTTTCAAGGATATGAGAGGTAATTATGTCATTTCAAGTTTCTATTCCCTCTTTTTATGTAATTTTTTCCATTCAGGTCTATTTTGGGAGGTTAAATTTGTTTTTGCAAATCATTTCCCTTACCCCTTGTGTGCGTATGAAAAGATTCAGTAAGCACTTGGCCAAAACTCTAGATAATCACCATGGGCCAAATCCCTTGGCTAGAAGAGTTTGCTTTAGCTGAATTTTTCAAATCATGAATCCTTCATATTATGTTAGATTTCAGGGTAAAAAAAATTGCTCCAAAAACCCTAGATGGATCCTTCACTAAAAGGATGGTCTAGAGTTGTCCTTGGCGCAGATTTTATTGGAGCTCCAAATCACTAACTTACCAAGTCCCAAACACTAGAACATTTTATAGCCATCCAGAACTTATTCACTTCTCAAAAATTAATTTGTAAAGTGCTTCAATCATAGTTCTAGCGACCATAGTCAAGTTATTCATGATGCAAGAAATTCCATGACCTTTATTCACCTCCTTAATTTAAAACTCTAGTGTTTATAGCCCACTCTTCATAGTTCTCTATGATTGACTATTCCGGTTAGATTTCTCAAATTTCTTCACGTTCTTTTTCTTCTTATGGCTTAATCAATTCCCTCAGTCCTTTCTTCCCCTTAAACTTTTATTTAGTCCTTTGAGCAAGTTTTATGCAGCATGAACACTGTCAGATGATTATCCCTTAGACAACGGCTTAATGGTGAACATCCTGTTTGAGCGAGGGAGGTCAAAGGTTAGACGTTTAGAAGTTTGTCCCATTATTCCTCACAAGCTACTATCCTTTTTCATTTTGTCCTTTAGGTTATGCCTTACTGGTAGAAATCCTGGTTTTGGTGAGGAAGGTCAAAGGTTTGAACCCTTGATGTAGTCACAAAAAACCAAAGAATGTGATCGATCTTTATATGTGCGTGTGCGTGTGCGTGTGCGTGTGCGTGTGCGTGTGCGTGTGCGTGTGCATGTGTGTGTACGTGTGCGTGTGTGTGTGTGTGCTTGTGCATGGGCGTGTGCATGTGCGTGTGCGTGTGCGTATACGTGTGCATGTACGTGTGCGTGTGTATATATGGGGAGGTTTATATTTGGGCATTGGCTTGAGTGTTTTTGTGTTGACAATTGTAACCCTACATCCAATGTTCAAATTTTATGCGGATCCACCAATAAAAGACACTGCCAGATGAGATGGCCTGTATTATATTTATGTTAATCGATTTTTCTTATTTGTGCTTTAGATATCTTCTTTTAAATTAAAAATGTCATCTCTCTGTGGATGACAGTCTCATTGGAATCCATGTTAATGTTCATAATCTTTCAGATTCATTTTCTTGTGTAGGTAGTTCAGCAGTGGGAATTGAACTCGTTGCGTAATGTTGCAATTGGTAACAACTAAACAATCAAGACCAAGCCCAATATCTATGTTTCTTCAGAGTCATACAGTCAAATTTTATTCATATGAACATAGTAATCCACATATTACCTTCTACAAAAAGTGACCAAGCAAAACGTTCTTCATTGATCATTTTAGTGGTGTATATTTTTCCTCAAATCTACTTGTCTACAATTTAATGCATGTGATATGCCTTATTTTTCTGACAAAGCTCACATTGGTTTTTGTTTTTAGGACTTCGTTCTTCCTGACATGCAAACACTTCTTATCATGATTATAGTTGGATTTTTGGCATTTGTTGCAGAGGTATGTACTTTTATCTCAAAGGATTCGATATTCTAAAGGGATAGTATTCACTTCAACTAAGAGAATTTTAGCCATCTTGTTTGTCTATACTCCATAATCATAAAGACCAGTTGTTGTGCTTATTGTTTTTGATCATTGCCTTCAGTATGGCCTTTGTGGTTTTACTTCATTTCTATTTAGTATCCATATGTGCTTGTATAATTGCAGTTGTTTTTGGCACGTGGGCTTCAGCTTGAGAAAACAAGTAAAACAACCAATATCCTATTCATTGAGGTCCTTCCCTTTCCAGCTTATGTTTATCAACCTATATGCCCTGAAGGTTTTGCAATATCAGAGGAAAACTAATTAACTAGAAATTCTAACATGATTTATATGCCTGCCATTGCTATTCAATATTCATTGGATTCTTTGAAATGTGATTGCCTGTTGTATTCACTTGTATTGTGCCTCTTTGAGACTTTGGCATTTTCTTCTGTGGTAGGCTAGCTTCTATATAATTTTTGTACTTCTCTAAGACTGCTTACATCCGGTAGTTCTTTGGAGATGTGTGTGTAAGTAATATTAAATCGCCTAATATTATTTACTGATATTAAATCCCGCGGACAAAATTGGTCTGGTAGTTCTTTGGAGGTGTGTGTAAGTAAAAGGATGAGTTGTCCTTTGAAAAACCTCAGTGTAAGTAAAGCACACTTGCTATTACCAACATCTTTCAATTCAAACTCATGTACCAAGATATGCTTATGTTGTTTTAAGCCTCATTGGCTCCAACTTTGGTGCCTTAAAAGGCCAAGTCCAGAAAATTTGTTTCCCCATTGGAAATTGGAGTTGAATTGTCTTTGCTGGCAAAGGACCACATGTTATACTTCATACAAGTAGAGTGCTCAGTATTTTAACCCAACATCCATCATCCATTCTTTCATGGATGGTGGGGTTGAGTAAACATTCCCACCAAAACATCTGGGCAGCTATAGAAGTGGGCAGAAGCTCATCACCTAACTGTCCTTGGATAAGGATCGACGTTCAATGTTGGGCCTGATTACCCTATTCCATACTCGTAACATGTATGGTAAATTTTCACTTCTGGAAAAGGTCGTTGTGCTTACATTTAAGGGCATGTTATCCCAGTAGTTTCATAGTGTTGCTTGGTTTAAAGGTGTGACACTATTCATATGGTTTGTGGAGATTATATGAAGCTAGCATCTGTTCACCATCTAGACCAAAAGGGCCAACATTTGGCTACTATAACAGTTAACATGGCAACTGTGACAGACGGATTATCCAGTCTACTTTTTTGTTGATCTTTTTATCAATGTATTATGAGAAGCTTGTCATGAATATTTCTTTGTATATGTAGCATATTTATGACAATTCACAAGCTAGAAACCACAGCATATGATTCTTCTTGGTAGGTGGGCCTTAGTTGCGCAAAACTTATATTTGGGAAGCACATCCAATCCCATTGTTGAACCTTGATATCCCCTTGGTAATTCCTAATGGGACATGATTTGTGTAAACCTTCCTGCTCCCCCTCCTACATATGTTTCCTACGTGTGTTGCCTATTTTCAGTTTTAGTAGCTCTAGCCTTGTAAAATATGTAAAACCATTGGATTGTATTGTGAATCATGCGAGTGGTTTCCAGGCCTGCTTCTTTTCCAGAATTAGTATATACACAGGATTCTTCATTGCTTGCTTTTCGAATTATTAGATAGCTACTACTTGAAATAAGTTTGTTGAATCAAATCCTATGGTATAACTACTTCAACCTTATGTAGTTTAGAAGGAACTCATGTATAGTCATCTGTAAATGTTACATTGAATTTATAACTGGAGGGAGGTATAAATGTTGCATTGAACTCGTGTATAAGAAAGAATTTGCAGGCCCATCGTTGCAAATTAGCTATATCTATATCATACTCTATGAGCAGCAAAAAGAAATAAATTTTCTTAATGATCATATTTCTGGATTATCTTATACCTTGAGCTTCCCTTGTTGTTTGTTTCATTTTGAAGGCCTTGGCTTCTTTGGTTCTTCTCCTTATGAACTAATATCAAATTTAAATCAATTCCTCCAGGTCTTTCTGTCCCAAATGTCAGGCTTCACATTCCTTGGGCAGGCTCCATCCTTTCTTAGACTCGTTGGTTGTATGCTTATTCTGGTTTCAGTTTTGAGTACATTTTACTTTGGGCCTGAGAAAGTGCTGGAGTGATGGTTCCTTATGTAGGTTATATTTACCTTGTCTTAAGCTTTGCTTTAAATCATTCCAATGTAATGGACTTTTTATCTGATGTGATTGATGTTTCCTTACAAGTTTCTAAGTGTTTATCTTGATGTTTCCTTGCAAGTTTCGAAGTGTTTATCTTGTGCATGCATGCTGTCAGTGACCGCTTCCCACTTTTAGTTACTCATTCAAGCCGTCAAGAATAGCGCATTAAAACTATGATCATGTAACAACAAATTCTTAGTCAATAAATGTGTTGCATGGTTATATAACAAAACCATGTACCAATAATTTCCCAGAGAACCTGTCTTTTACAAAGTAAATGTTGTGCATGGTTATATGAGTTTAATCACTTGGAAATTCCAAACTGGGTATAAACTTTTCTGCAGGCCACTCTGGATTGCTGAGCATATTGGTGGGGACCAGGTAGGGATTCTATTTCTTTTATGAAAAGGCATAAAATACCTAACCATCCACTGCAGAGCTAGAGAATCCATTGTTCGTCATTAGCGGCAAGTGAAGATTCTTCTCCGTCTCCCTCAATCTCTTCAGTGTTGACCATCGATTTTGAGTTAGCAATTGCAACTCCTAAGCTACAATTTATTTATGGGGAAATATCTCCGTATACTTTTTTTTAAGTTTTATTTCTCAAATGACCTCGAGTTTCGAACCATATCCCAAGGCATAAAGATCTCATTTATTTTATCTTCTAACTTCACATTTTTTTAATCCAATTTTTTTATCCCAAGCAAAAATTTTCTTTTCCTTTTTATACCGAACATGGTTTGAGGCCAAGCCCGCATATGTAGAAATGTGGACCTATTAATAAATTTATAACATGTAGATGATGAAAAAATAAGTAAATTTTAAAAATTAAAAATAATAATTTTGGTAAGAAAACATTTAGACTGTTGGTTTACCCAAACCTCTCTACCCCTTCCACTCTATCTCTCTCCCCCGATTTCCCAAACCTTTCTCTGTACCCCCTCCTCTCTATCTCTCTCCCATGTGAGTCTCAAACCCCTCTCTGCCCCGTCTTCTCTATCTCTCTCCCTGTGATTCTCTAAACCCCTCTCTCTCCTGGTGTTTACCCCAAACCTCTCTCTCCCATATGTTCCCCCCAAACCTACCACCCAATGAACATGCTCAAGAGAGAGAGATTTTAAGGACTAGCTTGGCCATGGCAACAGCCATTAAAGAGTAGGGCACTTTAATGATGTAATGAGGACAACCGAACTAGACACCCCAATTGATATATCTTTAGCAGGGTCTGTCTCCTCTGCCATTGTAGAGACTGCATCATAATCTATGTAGCTTAGGTAAAATAATGGCGGCTCTATTTTAGACGCATGTTGCACCAAGGGAAGAAGCCCCCTTCTTTTGATGGATTTTGGGGGTGCGTAAAATTCTTGGAGTCGCCTTTGCAAAACCTCCTAATTATGATAAACAGCATAAACAGTATGTGCAAGCCTGTTAATGTCAAGAATGGTTAGTACTGTAAAAAGATGGAGAGAAGAAGTTTATAGTCATGATTAATGAAAAATTTCACTGGTTTTAACTCCAATTAGTGAGATAGAACTGGGTTAAGCTGAACTAGAGAGATGATATCGTTAAATGCCCAGAATTATGAGAAGTTTCATGGGCTGGAGAGATGTTAATGGGTTAGAGAGAAAGGAGTTAAGAGGGCTTAAACTTTAAACAAGAGATATTGGGTTGGCAATCAATGAAAGAGATGTAAAGAGGTTAGGTGAGAAAGAGAGCCCAAGATTCCAAGGAAGTACCATTGTTTTAGACTCTGAGAAGAATCATAATCAGTTTTATGGCTGTTTCAAATATTAATTAGAAAGAAGCTAATGGGTTTAAATCTGTAACAAATAAAGAAGGTGATGGCTAAGATAATGGTGACCGTTACAAAGTCATGAGAGTTGTAATTTTGGATAGACTGACAAATTTTATTCTCCATTTTTCAGTAGTCACAATACCAAAAGTTGAATCCAAACTCGCGACTCCATATTACCGTCAATCACCCGAAAGTTGAATCCAAACTCGCGACTCCATATTACCGTCAATCACCCGATGACCGCCAATGGACGAGCCTCTTCCTCAACTTCTTCATACGACCATTGCTTCCTATTTGAAGATTCCCCTGCCTCAGTAACCGTAACCAGTCCCTTCTCCATATCATTCATCTCATCTTCCTCAATATCAATTTTGATGACCTGGTCCTGTGGCCAATCACTCCCGTCAGACGCATTTGATGGCTTTGGCTTAAACGCCACTTCAGCCTTTCTGTAAAGAAGAAACCTCTTCATATCGTTTAAACCACCTTCTCTATGCAACCAAGCTAATTTCTGCACTGGTTCACCATTTCCATTTTTGCTTATTAGCCATACTTGTAATCTACCCTCCTCACCGACCCCCTTGCAAATCATCAATGCCAACCATCAAAACAGCCGGCATTTTCATTTTCCCACACAACTCCTCGCCCTCACCCTCGCCCCCTTATGTAGCCTCCACCTGTTTCTTACATCTCGTCGATGACAGATACAAAAGATACCCCCCTGACATCTTCATAGCTCCCCATTCAGAATTACCTAAATACCCCTTCAGAGTTCCTAATCCACAACTATTGTCATCGATGATCTCCTTCATCCTATGGCACTTGATAGCCATCATCATAGATCCTACACACTAGTGTCCATAACACCGTTCACTTTGTCTATATTCTCCGGTCCGTTCGATCTTTGTACGGTCGCTTTTTGTCTTTAAACTTGCCTCTCCATTTTACCGCCTTTATTGCCCATTTGAATTCCACCGCCGTGATTCATTCATATGTCCCGCTCTTTACTATTGCATGTGATGTTTCTCTGTAATTCTCTTATAACCGCCTGCCATTGATGAACCTTAATCTGATCTGTTCTCATGACATCACTTTCTTTATTTTCTTACCAACCTTTTGCAATCCATTCAAATTATTTGACGTTGAAACTTGTTCCTTCCCTTTATCAGGGGCATCCTCTCTAACTATTTTTTGAACTATATCATCACCTTCAATCCTAAATTTTACCAAAAACTCACCGTTCTCTGCAGTTAAAATAATACGATCTGGAATCACTTTGCTATGAGTTTTTTCAATCGGTATACAAATCAAGCCAATTCTATCTCCAATTATTGAATTCCAATCAACTTCAACAAACTTACCACACATATCAGCAATTTGTTTGAAAATCTCAAAGTTCCAGACATGGATAAGTAATCCTTCCACATTTATCTAGCATCTATCAGAATAAACTTTTGAAAAATTAATGGATTCCAACCAATCTTGAATTTTCAACAATTTACCTCTATAACGTCAATGTCTATTCTTTAAAATGTTGTTACTACTATCCTTACCATCAAGATAGATCAAGACAAATCGATCCAGAAACATATTGCATTTGGGTTTTGCAGAGAGATGCCATACCTTCATTACCCATTTGTCAAAAACAGACATACATGATATGGGAGGAGAAAAAGAACCTAAAATAACTTATTGCAACACCTTCATATGATCTCGGCAAATCGCATCCCTCAAATCCTCCACCCTGCAAGATTGAATTCTAGCCGCAAACGTCACACTCGCTTGCGACCCATCTCTAGCCACCACTTGTGCATAGGACAGCCTACCACCATTACCAATATCTTCCCTCAGGCTCATCCTCTCTCTCTCTCTTGCATAAGTCATTATCGACAATCCTAATTAGGGGCACTTATATGATTAGGGCTGCCACTGGGCGAGACGGGCTGGCCCAACCTGGGCCTGGAAAAGCCCAAAATAATTTTCAGCCCGGCCCAGAAAAATGCCTGAAATTTATGATTGTGTGGGCTCAGCCCAAAATATGTTATTAAGCCCAGCCCAACCCAAGCCCAAGTAGGAAAGTGCCTTTTGGGTTAGACCTCGGCCAGCCTAAATATGTCCGTTTTGACCCAATTAGAAATGTCCTTTTACTTTTATTTTCGTTCCTTATTTTTTAAGATCTCTCTCCAAAGATTTCTTGTTAGTAAGCCAAAAAAACAAAAAACGAAAATCCATAGAAAATTATGCTAAAACAGTTTTTAAAAGCCCTTAAAAGGTATTGGGAAATAAAAAGCATTCGAAAGAAAAGGTGGGGACACTTTGCCACCCATCCACCTCATTACCCCACTCGTATCTCTCTATTAAAACCTGTCGAGGATTGATGTCTTGTATTTTAAAGAAATAGATTTGCCAAAGTGGAGTAAAAAAGATGACTCCGGAGGGCTGTTAAAAGCCTGAAGGCCAGTAGGGCTTGACGCCCGGAGGAGTCATCTTAACAGGTTGACTTAGCCCTTGCAGGGGTTCGGGGGTGGCAGCTCTCGAGAAAAAATTCGGATATATCCGTACATGGGATTCGATATATTTGAGACATAATATATATCCGTACAAGGGTATTTTAGTAATTTATACCATCTATCTGAGACTCGATATATATTATTGTTGATTGGGGGTTCATCTAGGGTTAAGGGTCAAGGGAAAAACGCAGATCTCTTTGTAATTAGATAAAAACAGAGAGGCGTGAGGAAGAGAGTGTGTTGTAACCCTATTTTCATTGCTAGTAAAGAAGCTCTAATCTCCCGTGGACGTAGGACCGAACTGCGTATATCTTTGCGTTGTGGTTGGTTGTCTCTTTCTTTTGTGTTTATTTGTTCTTTTTGTTTTCGTGGATTGCTTTTCGTTTCTACAAAACCTATTCACTCTCTCTAAAAACATGTTTTCTGACCCACCTGTTGGGTGAGTGTGGTCATTAAAGGCCTTATGAGTGCTTGTAAAATGAAATGATATAGTGAAATATGAACTCAGTAAGATTGTGGTCCCTCATACACCATACAAAGCAAAAGATATTTGTTGATACCGGACTGTGTTTGACGGTCTCGGCCAGTCAGTTGGGAAAAATCCATGTTACCTGGCCATAGAGTATAAACCGATAAGGGTTCAAATGGGTTATCCCTTAATGAGGTCGGAGTATGCCCGGATGAGTGAGTCGAGGGACTGTGTGACCCTTGTATATGATGTTGGCCTTCAGAGATGGGGGCCAAAGCCTCATCCACGTACCACCACATGGCATGCATATTGATAGACCGTTTCGATAAAACAAACTGCCTTTTAGGGTGCAGCGTATGCATGTGCGAGAGATACACCTATGCACCAAAAGAGTTGTGGTCGCATCAGGTCTAGGTGACCTTAGCTCGTCTCTAGGGGAGAACCTGAAATCCACATACTGGGATTGTGACCTCTTGGCTCATCTGTCAAACTTTTATGACCCACTAATGAAGTCCCTGCATAAACTGTGGGTCATTGAAAACACTGGGTCGGTTTGATAAAGCAAGTGTGGCCCATAGTCCACAATTGAAGGTGAAGTGTCCGAGATTATTTATTCCTAGACCATATGAATCCTTATCCCATCTAATGAATTTAATTGTGTTTATTTTATGATGATATGATTTTAGAATTATTATTTGAATTTTTCTAGATCTCTGGATATTTTATTTATAAAATTTGGATTTATAAAAATGGAGATATTGCTTTTTAATATTTTAAATATTCAAGTTAATTCTAAAATCATTTATTGATTTTTAAATATTTAAAAA